GGCCTCGGCGCCAGCCCCGGCGCAGACCCCGGCGCAGTCGCTGGCCGGCCCTGCTCTACCGGGCCCCTTCCCCGGCGGCCGTGTGGTCCGGCTGCACCCGGTCATTTTGGCCTCCATCGTGGACAGCTACGAGCGACGCAACGAGGGTGCTGCCCGAGTTATCGGGACTCTGCTGGGTGAGTGATCAGAAAATTGAGGCTCCCTTCTACCTCCCCTCTATCTTGCTCGCCTTTCTTCCCGTCCGCATTGATCTCTTACCTATTTCTCCATCCCACCTTCTTGCTGCGACTTATCTTCCCAAGGAACTTGAACTTTCTGGCCTGATTGCTGTCATTTTGGGCAACATAAGCAGTTATGTATTAAATATCATGTGCCGAATGATTTACACTTTAATCTTCCCAGTAGCATTTCACATCAAGTTTGGTTATCCCAGTCTACCAAAAATGAATTAATACTCCGTCTAGGACTCCCTACGTCCAGTGACCAGGTAACTCCCCTTAAGTCTTTATTTCCCCAGGTGTTTACAAAGAAGTTCCTAACCAGTTGGCAGTGGAGACATCTGTTAAAAGATATCCTCTCAAAAAGTAAACCGGTTTGACAGGAACCCGTTTTGGGCTTCAGTAATAATCAGTTTTCCTAGGTGTGTAAGCCTGATGCTCTGTCCCTCAGTGTCCCTGATGCTCATCCCTAAAGACCCAGTTCCCCCAGAGCTGTCTCTGATTCTCCGTTTGGACACAAACACTTGTGTTGTCTGTTTATGATATTGTTTAATCTGCACATCAGAGAATAACCTTTTCCCTACCCAAGTTCCAAATTTGGGGAATAGATATTTTATGTTAAAATAATTTGTAAAACTGAGAAGCACTAAAGAGGAATTACTGGTGACATGTCTCCTTCTCTGGGGACTGCTGGTCTCATCAAATTCATTTCCACTCCATCTTAGTCACCTTTGTCCCCCTGCGCCAATTGTACGCATCATTTCTCTTACTGTTGAACTTGTGATAGCCCCACTATAGAAGACAATTGGTGTATTGCAAGAGGACATGATTTGTAGGTAGACTCCATCAAATTTGTCCCATGTGCCTTGGGACAAATTACCTAAAGCCTAGTTCCTTCAGGGGCTACTTTAGGCTTAGTCTCTGTGAGAATGAGGTTATTACTGAAAGCGTCTAACTGCTGGCACACATTAGGTACAAAATGGCTGTTGGTTGCCCTCCTTCACCACATCAGGCCTGTACCACCCTAAAAGACACACACATTCTCCCTCTTTTTCTTTGAGGGTATAGCATTTTACAGAAATTTCAATTAATCTATTACCTTCCAAACATTGCCATGGCCTTTCTCACACCAAGCCTTTGTATTTTCTTTGTCACAAGTGCCTTCCCTACTCTCCCTTATTTGTTTCTTTAAGTTCCACTCATGTTCCAGGAAAAGTGTTCAGTGTTGGTCCTTCATCCTCAGCCTCCATACTTCTACCCTCAGCCCCATTCTTAACCTCCCAAAATGTGAGCATTCTGTGACTATGCCCTGCTTTGAGCTTGTAATAAATGATTTTTGCATTACTTACTTGGCACTGAACAAATACACTTTTAACTGTACTGTCAAATTTTCCTAATTTACTGGAGCTATTTAACTAAAGAAACCTCTACCCAAGGTTTGTGCTAGGTGCCTCCAAAATTGCAGTGACTCTAGTTGGACTAACTGTAACCTGGACCTTCAGAGCCTCTTCCAGGCAGGCATCATGGTGCAGCACTGGGTGTTATAGAGGCCGTGTTTACTGAAGAATGACGCATGGATCCTGCTTGCTAGGAACTTACAAATTTTCTCAGACATTAATTTATGAAACATATTTCATTTGATTAAATGAAGTCACCAATGCTTTTTATGTATCATAAAACTGTTGGGCACTTAGAATTCAAAGCTTGGTAAAATGAGCTCTACTGTAACCTTAAGTTGAAGATGAAGACATACTCTTGCATGCAAATGATTAGAATATAATGTGATAAATGCTGTAATAGAAGGGTGTCCTGTTGGCATAGAAAATATAGAAGACTAAAAATTAACTGTTTCCAAAGCTTGATGTTGTCAAGTCTGTTGGATGCTGATGAGAGGTCAAATAAGATAAAGAATATATATCCATTGGGTTTGGAGGCATAGTTTCAGCTAAGGAGGCAGAAACCATAGGAAAGTGGAATTAGGCACTAACGGGTATAGGCAACCTTGTGGTCTGTGGTGAAGAGGGAAACACTTGAAGCCTGGGATGGGAGAGAAAAAAATAGAGAAGTCAAGGGACTAGTAGTCTTGGTGAGGTCAAGAAACAAATGCACATAGTGGGGATAAAGTGATAAGAATTAGAATAGAAGTTTGTGGTAAAAGACTGACATTGGTGTTGAAGGTTCACAGGTAGGTTTCTGGGTGATGATAGGGTTATGGTTATCACCATGGGACCAGCTGGCTGAAGAGAGGTATAGGTGAATCTCCCGAATCTCCCTAAACTGTGTTCTCTGAGCTGTGGCTACTGTATGGGTGGTCTATCTAAACACAATTAAAATCTTCCAAGTAGCTCTGCAGATTAATCATAGGGAAAAAATCTAGAGGCTGAAAATGAAGTCACAGTAAAGATCTGGAGTAGGACTGATAGTGGAAAGTAACACAAAAGGTGACCTGTGAAAAAATAGGCTCTGTTTGTTGATGGTTAAAAGAAGGAGTTGTAGGTCACTCAGGAGTTTTGTTTCTCTGCAAAATCCTGGTCCCACTGATGCATGTGGCCGAACTTGGAGCTAATAAGCTCAGGTTTTTGTTCATTGACTGACTGAATATCTGAAAGCATGTGGAAAGTGGTCGGAGGCTGTAAGGAGCCTTTGGGTTACATAACATGGGGACAATTCTCTCTTATAGGAACCGTTGACAAGCACTCAGTGGAAGTCACCAACTGCTTTTCAGTGCCGCACAATGAGTCAGAAGATGAGGTGAGTGGGAATTTGAGCTGACCCTGTGCAGTCTGTAGCTGTTCTTTTGCTAGGCTCCCCTTTGGGCCCTCCTCCTCATAATATGTTGTGCTCATAACGTGAGCTCCTGCAGTTCACAGAGCTTCATTCCAGTTGGACATACTTTATGTGCCTCTTCTGTCTGGTGGGTGGCCTCTGGTTCCTACTCTTTTTTTCTGTGAACTGGCTTCTGAGCTTTCTTTCCTGCCCTCTTAGGTGGCCGTTGACATGGAATTTGCTAAGAACATGTATGAATTGCACAAGAAAGTCTCTCCAAATGAGCTCATCCTGGGCTGGTAAGTTGGGGTTCGGAGGGGATTAGAAAGTCTCTCAGTGATTGCCAAGGCCTTTTGCCACCAGCCTAGATATTATACTGCCTCTTCAGGAGACAGAATACTGAAAGCATATTACCTCAAGGAGCTATGAATAAAGTGTGTTTTGCTGGCTATTCTGATCCTTTGAGGCCAAAAATAGTTCTATTCAATTGTAGCTTTTACTGAACAAGTCTTTTCTGCCTTGCTGATGACTTGGAATTTTTCAGGAGCTCCAAGTCAACTTCTGATTTGATTTGATATAGTTTTTGATGTGTTTACTGTTTTATTACTTGGAGTGTCACTGCGTATCACTACCAGGGGGCTGTCGGGTACCTAAAGACAGCCATGTCATCATTGTGGTTGGTATTGATGTCACATGTCGACGTGAGTCCACAACCTTGTTTTTCGTTTTCCAGGTATGCTACAGGCCATGACATCACAGAGCACTCTGTGCTGATCCACGAGTACTACAGCCGGGAAGCCCCCAACCCCATTCACCTCACTGTGGACACGAGCCTCCAGAATGGTCGCATGAGCATCAAGGCTTATGTCAGGTGACAAGGGGCTTGGGCCACAAGGGCATAAAAGGCTATCTAGTTCATACCATGGCCAGATGACACCCCACCTCCAGTCCAAGCAGGTATAACTCCCTGCCTCCTAAGGAAGCCCATTCCTCACTCAACAATTATCATTAGAAAGGCTTTATTTGCTCTGAAACAAAATCCATCCTGAAAATTTCCCCTTGCTGATCCTAGTTGAACCCCAGGTTTCTACTCACTGCTCTTAACCAGTTTCAGAGGGCAGCCCTTAGGTATTTGAGCAAGCTGTCTTGTGCTTTGTGTCATTTTTCCTGGAAGCTAGCTCTGCATGGTTCCTATAGCTGCTCCTCCCATGGTGTTCTGGTCATCACCCTTCACCATCTTCACTGCTTTTCTGAGCTGCCCTCTATAGAGTTTCCTTATCCCTACAACTGAGCACAGGATCGGGGTAGTAGTACACATTAAAGAATGGCTGTCCTTATTTTGACATATTTATTAGCCCAGGATTAAATAGTTTTCATGACCATAACATTACAGTGTTGACATACTGAGGTGGTGTAAGTGCCGGTGGGTGGGGGGTATTGGGAAAGGCTTTAGTGGCGTCCTGAAGAAGGGGCTGCTCTTGGAGTTGGAAGGATTCTATTTCCTGTTTAGAATGAAGGCGTTAAATTTATGTGCTGTTTCTGTTTCTGTGTCTGATGCTGATGTAATGAGGTAACTATTATGCAGTAAGACAAAGATGGTGGATACCAAGTCCTTATGGCCATTGCTCGATCTCCTAGCCTCCCCAGATATTTCGTGCTCCTCAAGATCCAGTTAAAAATGTGTAGTTGGCTTAGTAAAGGCAGTCACCTTTAGTGAGATGACTTGGTGCACTGCAGCCAATTTGTATTTTAGGTGCAGATGAAGGACTCTGTCCCAGAAAGGGCCTGTCCTTCTTTCTGTGGTGGTGGATGTCTAGGCAGCCGGCTTCCCAGAGAAATCCAGTGTCCTGTCCTCTTACCACAGAGATTGCACAGTGTTTGAAGTAATCCTCTGACTGGACCAGGCCAGGTCCGAAAGCTGAGTTCCCTCTCATGGGACAAGGGTTTGATGTGTGGAATGAGCTAAGGAAAGAAAGTGAGGCCTTGGGGATTCGAGCCACCTTTGGAAGCCATATTCTTGGTGTGACTGCTTTCCTAGCCTGGACCAGACGTGGAGCCCTCTCAAGGCCGTCCGTTTACCTTGACTTCTCTCTCCCCAGCACTTTAATGGGTGTCCCGGGGAGGACCATGGGGGTGATGTTCACACCTCTGACGGTGAAATACGCATACTATGACACTGAACGCATTGGAGGTGAGTCACCTTCCCATGCCTTCCTTCAAGGTCTTGGGAATTTTTCATGGGAGGGGGTTGCTGCTCACTAACAAGGATGGAGGGCCTTGGGTGGTTTAAAGAGGAACCATTGATCTAAGGTTTGTGATGACTAGAAGTCACAGTCATTCTCCTACATAAATGGGATTCAAGGAGTCATGTGTAAAATTGTTAGAGGTGGGAAGTTATCAGTACTGGAGGCTACGGGGCTGTTCCTATGAGACCAGAACCAGTGATTGGCATACTAGGTACAGGACTTGAGCTCTGTCTAGAGGAAGAAACATTAACAGGGACAGAGCATGGGAATTTGGGGAAGTTGACCGAGTGCAGAGGGAGGTGAGAGAGTTAGCAGGATGGTTAGAAAGCATCTCTTTCCTGATGGAACCACTGAATTCTCTGTTTCTTCTACCTCCCAACCCAATCCCACAGTTGACCTGATCATGAAGACCTGTTTTAGCACCAACCGGGTCATTGGACTCTCAAGTGACTTGCAGCAAGTAGCGGGGTCATCGGCTCGCATCCAGGATGCCCTCAGCACAGTGTTGCAGTATGCAGAGGATGTGCTGGTGAGACGGGAAAGGAAAAAAAGGAGGCGGGCATAGATCTCCATCCTAGATTGCTGAGAGAGAGGCTGCTGAAATGACAGTCCTTGGTGGTGAGAATTAACTGTGCCTCATTCAGTCTTTGTTTTGGTGCTCAGTCTGGAAAGGTGTCCGCTGACAATACTGTGGGCCGCTTCTTGATGAGTCTGGTTAACCAAGTACCCAAGATTGTTCCTGAGGACTTCGAGACCATGCTCAACAGCAACATCAATGTGAGTGCCATGTCTGGGCTTCTGGGAGCCTGTGCCTTCCCTGCCTCACCGTGGGTGTGAAGGGAGCCTGGGGACCGAAGACAGGGCTTTACCTTTGCCCCCCTTGCTCACCAGTTTGGGAGGAAGGAAGAGGTAATGCACATGCTCGGAGACCCCGTTTTCCTTCCTTGATCCCCTTGGCTCAGGTACTGCTGAAACTGCAACTTGTTATCTAGATTCACGGTTGAAAGAAATACTTAAATTCAGAGGTTAATGAAAATGCAATTTGTTATTTTCCCCATCTGCGTTCTCAGACCCCCCACAATTTTACCCATGGATCTCAACTCAAGCACCCTTTTTCTCTTGAGTTATCAATAGAGATGAGAAAGTGTTCTTAAGCATTTCCTTCCCATCTTCTACCTTCAGCTCTCACCCTCTCCCAGCTGTCATTTATCCAGCTGTCATTTATCACCCAATGTCCATTGTAGAGCTGCCCAGAACAGCCTTTCTGCTCCCCTTTACCTAGCTCTGCACTCATGATGGCTTCTTTCTCTTCCAGGACCTGCTGATGGTGACCTACCTGGCCAATCTCACGCAGTCACAGATTGCCCTGAATGAGAAACTTGTCAACCTGTGAATTGGTCCCAGCACTCGTTCTACTCTGGCTCCAGTGCTAGGACTCAGAATGGAGTGAAGTGGAAATGGCTTCTTGTGGTTTGAGTCACACTGAGTGAGTCAGTTGCTTGTGACTCTAAAATAAACATAGCCTATCTTTTGTAAATGAATTCATCTATGTGAGTAACTGCTGGGGAAGGGAGAAAACTCTTCTAGGGCTCATGCAGAAACCAGAAGTGAGCGCTCTAGGTAGAAGTTAGTTGTGTGTTTGGCACAACTTGTCATCAGTAGTTGCACCCACAGCCCAAGCCACTTTAGCTTCACCTGACCCCAGACCAGATAGCCTTAGCACCCTGGCTTACAGGGACACCATCTCCCCACTCTTTGCTTATGATCAGAGCAGACAACCTCCATAGAAAGTTTTTTATCACTTCTCTTTCATAGCATCTTACATGGATGGCAGTATAAAGGGTTGTCGTGTGCACAGTTTGAAGTACCTAGAGAATGCTAGTGAGTGAGGAGAGGAAAAGAGAGGAGGAGGTGGATACAGGTCTCAGGCCTGGGACCCATGATTCCTGGTGGAAAGACAGCCTTCTCCATGGTGAGAATTAACATCACGAAATTTTTCCTCTTGGTTTTCAGTCTGGAAAGGTATCCACTGACAGTACTGTGAACATTCGTTAGTGGGTCTTGTGGCTTCCACAGGAAATGAAAAAGAGAATCCATGCAGGGAAAATGAGAGAATTGGATACTTAATCTAAACTGAAAGAGTAGGGGGTATGGTCAGTGTTTTAAAATATGTAAATAATAGGATAGAGCTGTTTGATACCATGGTTCAGGGAGGCAGAATTAGGATCTCTAAGTTAAGTGTTTCCCCATTTTAGTGGGGAAAACAGAAAAGTAAATAAATCAGTTGGAAAACGAGTGCCAGATCTAATGTTTATTGAGCACCTGTTATGTTTGAGGGCAGTTTTTATTTTCAGAGAAGTTGTATATGTTACTTGAGGTTATATAATTAGTAATGATGAAACAGAATTTGAATACAAGTCTGGATTTTATTTTCACATTTTCTCCTTCATAGTTCAGTGGCCCAGTGAAATAATTACTCCATTAGGGCAAAAATATAACAGGAGCACATCATAGGATTGAGCAGCTCTATCAGAGGGTATCTGGGAAGGTTCTATCCAGGATGTATCTGAGCTGGTTTTTTGTCTTTTTTAAACCAGACAATCATGAAAGGTAATCTAGGCAGAAGGGGCACATAAAAAAGCAGGGAGATATAAAAAAGCTTAACCTGTTCACAACCTAAGGAGGCATATGCAGGAGGTGACCATAAGGGCCCTCAGTCTATGGAGGTTGGCTTTTTATCCCGGAAGCTGTGGGAAGGCAGTGGATAATTTTAAGCATATTTAATCAGATTTGGATTTTGGGAAGATCACCTGGTAGTAGTGTAGAAAGGGGAAAAAATTGAAGGAAGGGAGATGAGTTGAGGGCCGCTGTGATTGTTCAGAGGAGAGATGATAAGGACCCAAGCCGAGACGGCAGCAGTGGGGATGCTGACGAAGACACATTCTCAAGCGTGTTACGAGGCAGACGCAGGAGGATTTAGAGGCTGGTTGAAACATGGATGGTAAGATGGGACGAGTCCAGATGCTGCCTGTTTCTGATAAAGGTGATTGAGGAGATGGTGGTATATGGAAGTTGACTACTCCAAAGTGGTGGAAGCTTAGAGGATGCAGAGGGCTGTGACCAGAGTTAAGGTTAGAGGCATAGTGTGGGACCAAATGGTGAGGCTTGCAATGCAAAACAGAATTGTGACTTGTTTGGTCAACTGCGGGCTGCACCAGATCTTTCGGAGAAAGGCTGAAGAATTCAAGGTAGCCATTTGCTCATGTAATCCTTAATGAATGCCAAACTGCTAAGCAAAGCCGTGCTTCAGAGCTGGAGAAGACAAAGCAGTCATGACCTGGGAATCACGGGTGTCAGAGGTAATGGCATGTGTCTAGTTAGGAAGTGAAATCTAAACTGGACTTGAATGAGGACAGACAAAAAGGAGAGAAGACGGTGGAGCATTCGAGGCACAGAAAACAATTGTGCAGAGGCTCAGAATGACTGTCGACCGTGTGGCTCCATGATTGTTGACTCCTGGCGTGGGAGATGTTTGTGAGGAAAGGAACACTCTGTGCCTAGGTTTACTGGAAAAGAATGACTGGATTTTTAAAATTATTATTATTATTGATTTTTAGAGAGTGAGACATCTATCTGCTGCGTCCTGCAGGCCCCCTACTGGGGATTAAGCCCTCGACCTGAGCATGCGCCCTGACTGGGAATGAAACCAGAGACCTCTTGGTGCAAGGGACGACACCCAACCAACAGCAACACTGGCCAGGGCTGGATTTTTACTTTTTTTTGCAACCTTTGCTTATGTGTGTGCAAGTTTGTTTTAACTGGGAATGTGTACACACGTTCTCTTTGTTACATGGTTGTGCATATGCTAAAAACATCTCAGAATGTGTCTGGGCGAGACATGTTGCTTAACTTCCATGACACACGACACTGCCCGATTTTCTCCCAGCCGCCTTAGCCACCCCTTCTCGGTGCTTTTTCCTGGTCCTTCTTCCTCTGGCCCCCCTAATGTTTCATTCCCAGGGTTACATCCTGGGCCTCTTCACCTTCTCTACACCCTCTGCCTGGAAGCTCTCACTGCAGCCTGTGATGATTATGACTACCTGTATGTTAAGGATGCCCATTCTCAAACTCTAGCTCTGGCCCACATTCAGAACTAGTTTCCTGATTCTGGACTGGTTAGATGGACACAGATACTTCACCTGGATGTCTCAAAAGCATCTTAAATTCAGCGTGTTCCATATTGAACTGGTTATCTCTTTCTCACAAATCACCTCCTGAATTTCCTTCCTCAGGGATGACATGACTACGCACCCAATTGTCCCAACCATAAACCTTGGGTGAATCCTTGATTCTCCCCTCCCTTCCACCATCATGCCTCAACTGTTTTATTACTACTCTGCCTTCAGTCTTGCCCTCTATGATATTCTGTATATTTTGGTCTTCACCCATGTTCCTGGCAGGCAGTTTTTAAAACCTTTGGAATTTCCTAAGTGATACAGAGCCTAGTTATTCCTGACAAGCCCCTTTCAACAGTACCTAAGTTTATGTTAATGAAGTGATTTCTGGAAAGCCTGTAGAAAACCATAAGATGGGGACTGGTTGCCAGGTGAACCGACCTGTGTGATTGGAAGTTGGAACTTTCAGCTTGATTTAAGTACCAGTGATTTAATCAGATACATCTACATAATGAGACCTCCACAAAAATCCCACAAGGACAGAGTTTGAAGCGTTTCTGAGCTGGTGAACAAGAACATAGGAACAAGGTGCATGCCAGGAAGGTGGTGCACCCTGGACCCAGGAACTAAAGCTCCTGAACTCTATACCTTTTGAGGCCGCACTCTGCCTCTTCATCTGGCTGTTCATTCGTATCCTTTGTCATAAATCAGTAATGGCAAGTAAACTGTTTAGTTCTGTGAGGTGCTCTAGCAGATTAATCGAACCCAAGGAGGGGGTCATGGGAAGCTCCAATTGATAGTGGGTTGGTCAGAGCATGGGTGACAACCTAGACTTGCAACGGCATCAGAACAGGGGTGGCAGTCTTGTGGGACTGAGCTCTTAACCTTAGGATCTCACACTATCTCTAGGTAGGTAGTGTCAGCATTGAGCTAAATTGTAGGACACTCAGCTGTTGTCAGAATTGCATGGTGTGGAAAGTTACCTGTATATCTGGTCACGGAAGTGTGTGATGTAAGTAGTTTAGAGAAAAACATTTTCCTTATACCCTCTCTAATTCATTCCACAGCAGCCACACTGCTCTTTGTAAATCTGACCAGGTCATACCTCAGATGCAATCTCTTCAGAGGTCCCACTGCCCAGGGTAAAGTCCACACTTCTTACCACAATCTATATGGCTCATCCTATTGCCTGACTCTCCAGCCCCATCCCTTACTCCCCCAGCCTGGGCTCCCTTTGCACTTGCTCTCCCCTCTGCTAGAATCTACCCCTTTAGCTGGCTTCCTACTCATCCCTTAGATTTTAGTCTAAGTACTGCCTCCTCTTGGAAGGTGCACCTATGCCATGAGCCCATGATATTATCCTGTCTTAGCAATTATCTCACCATTTTGAACTTGTCTATTTCTCCCCTATTAGAGCACAAGCTCTTTGAGGGCAAAGTCTACTGTAGACTTCAATTCCTAGATCACAGAGCCGACCCAGACACAGAATAGGTTCTTAGTAAACCTTTGTTAATGAATAAATGAATGGGTGGCTTGCAGGATAGTTACTACGGGGCACTGTGGACATGATAGATCCATTAGGAGTCATCAGGATCTTCTGGAGAGGGGCTGGAGGAGGGAGCACACCAGACATTGCTACTTGTTTTACTCATTCTACAAATACTTAGTGATGCTTAGTATGCACCAGTCATAGAGGTGGGCACTGGGGGTGTAGAAGTAGATGAGCCATGTTCTCTGCCTCTATGGGTCTCAGTATTATGGGGTAGGTGCACAAAAATGAACAATTATGACAAAGTAAAACAATTGCTGTAAAGGATAGGAACAAGTCTTGGAAAGACACAGTAGAGAACGTGCTTAAATCTGCAGACAAGGGAATTCAATCTTGAAAGACATTAGAATTGATTGGGCACAAAAGAAGAGGAAGAGCTATGAAGATCAAAATATTACTCTTAATTTTACAATGGTGCATATGTAGAGTTGTGTTTCCATGGGTACAGCAGCTTAGCGGTAAAGATAGGGTTGCACTAACTGCCGCAGCACAGTATCTGCCTTCTCCATGGGGGCACCTTCATACCCTCCCAAAAGTTGTCTGGGGTGCCTTATAAGTTCTCTGTACCTGAAGTCAGTTTTATATTTTCAAATTTTAATTTTAAAAAATAACTGAACAACATAATCATTGTTTGTGCCAGTAACAAAAGTCCTTACAGGACTAACAAAATTCCAGTTGTCCACTTTTCCCCAGTGATGCCTCCCATAGGGGCAAACTGGGTTTGGTGACCTAGGCTGTGATTAGGTCTGTTTGTTCTGTGACCTGTCTGATCCATCCTGACCTATCTTCTGTCTCACTGGAGTTGCCAGCCCTGTGC